ATCCATCCATCCATCCATCCATCCATCCATCCATCCATCCATCCATCTGACCTGCTACCCAGCCAGCCAGTTACTCAGCCAGCCAGGAAAGGGCTCTGAAAGCTGCTTTCTGTATGGGACCCGCCTTAGATGGGCATTCTACCACAGGACAGTGTTGGAATGATGCCTGAGGCTACACTGGAGCTGTGACCACACTGATTTGGAAGACCCATAGAGGTGGCCCTCCTGCAATCCCAGCATTCTGGAAGCCTCAGGAGTGACTAGGTACTTTAGGAATCCCAGCAAGGGGTGGGGCCTGGAAACAATGATCAACTTCAGTATAGTCTGCTGTTAAGCGAAGAACCAGGATGTTGTAAGGCTCAGGGCAACTGGACCCCAAGAAGGATGTGGCAGTGTGAAAAGATATGGAAGTCGGGAAAACTAAAACTGGCCCAAGCAGGTTGTGGCATCATAGTTTACTTTGTCAGAAGTAGATTTTCTTACCTCCCTTGTAGCCAGGGAATAGCAGTCAAACAAACAGCAGTGATGCTTTAAAGGGAAGTCTATGGGCATCTCTGGAAAAGGTTTTGCTTGGGGGAGTGGGGGCAGGAGACAGGACAGAAAAGGCCATGGCTGCCTGCTGTGTAGCTCTTACCTTCCAATTGAGACACTCTTTCTTTAAAGGAGGAGGAGGAGGCTCACAAAGCACAAGCAACTTAAAGGATTCAGGGCACTAGGGCACTTACAGAACTCTTGGATTATGTAATCGGTAACAATTGCCAGGGGGGAGGAGACTCTTCCACGGAGCTGCAAGCAAGTTGTACAGGGAGCCCCAGTGATGTGCTGGCATGGGCTTCTCTGTAACACAGCCGCTTGAATCACCCATGTTCCTGACCCTTGTTCATGTAACCTTAATACACTCATTGATCTGTGCTAGACAGAAGTAGTCTTTCCAGGGAAAGCTATACAGCTCGCCTCCTGCTTTGAGGACGTTCCTTCTCCCCAGATCTGTGGCTCTTGACATACTTCATGAAGTTTCAAGTGAGGACAAATCTCTCTAGGTAAGGGTGGAGGAACAGAAAGACAGGACGTGCCCAGGAGACAGCGCTGTGTAGTGTGCTCTCCCAGGAGACTACGAGATGTAGCACGCCCTCCTATGTTCTGGCTCTTGGGGCTTGTACCTGCAGTAAGACTCTGAGTGGGGTGAACGCTGGAGCTCAGCTTGCTTTCTCTGTTTTGTTCACTCCAGGATCTTCACCCGTGGGACGGTGCCCCCCAAAGTTAAGGTAGGGCTTCCTACCCCAGTTCACCAGATTTAGACAATCTCTCACAGGTGTGCCAAATGACTTCTTTCCTGGTGGCTCTAGAACCATTAAGTTGGTCATTTTAACTATCACACACATGTTCTGGGGAGAGCAGCTGCAGTGGTCTACCCTGGGAACTTCAGTCAGGAAGGGATGTAACCAGGCTAGCTACTCACAGTGTCCTCTTCACTGCTATCACTGGCTCATGGATGAACAGATGAAACCATTGGGGGGCTTCCCTGTGACCAGCATGTGGCCATTGATGGGTTGCTAAAGCAGGACATGACCTACAGGTATTACCACCCTATGCCTGTCACAGGAGACGTCCTGGACTAAGAATGAAGCTAAGTCAGGCATGGTGACTTAAGAAGCTGAGGAAGAAGGATCTCAAGTTTAAGGCCAGCCTGGGCTACATAGCAAGACCCTCTTTCAAAAATAATAACCAAATAAAAACATTTTAAAAGTCAAACGAATGAAGCTAAGATGAGACAAACTGGGAACCAGCGAGAGATGCAGATATAGTGTGTGCTCTGGGGTTTGAACTCACAGTTTTACCAGGTAGTAGCTTGAGCTGGCTGGCTGTGACATAAAGCTAATGTTGGTTGGAAGACAGGGCAGTACAGTTAAGGGGAAATAAATTCAAGACATCTATTTACTGCACAGCACGGAAACAATAATTTTTTTTGTTTGGTTGGTTTTTCGAGACAGGGTTTCTCTGTGTAGCCCTGGCTGTCCTGGAACTCACTCTGTAGACCAGGCTGGCCTCGAACTCAGAAATCCGCCTGCCTCTGCCTCCCAAGTGCTGGGGTTAAAGGCGTGCACCACCACCGCCCGGCCACGGAAACAATAATTAATGAAGAAATGTGCTGAGTGGAAGAAGGCTCGCATAATACAAATAATGACCGTGTGACCTGCGTTACTTTATTCAGCTACATGTAACCAGCATGCTGTGTATGCACAATAACTACTATCTGTCAATTTAAAATAAAATAAAATGTGTGTGTGCCTCTGTGCTGGGATTACTGATGTGTACTGCCATGATCAGTTTTTTGTTTTTGTTTTTTGTTTGTTTGTTTGTTTGTTTTACTGTGGTGCTAGGGATCTGAATCCAGGCCTACCTGCTTGCAAGGCAAGCATTTTACTGACAGAGCCATCTCCCAAGTCTTCCTAATTTAAAATCCCAGCCTTATAATTAGCATTCAAAGTGGTCTCCTTGGAGCTGTGGCCCCAATGCTCCTTCTCCGCCCAGTGCTGCTTTGTCGGAGGCTCTGGAACCTTAGGCTGGAGCCTAAAGGACGTCACTAGGGTCAGACATTTGTCAGACACCAGTTCCAGTTTCTTGCCTTATGTTCCCTGGTCTGCTGTGATTTGAAGAGTGCCCTCCACACAGGCTCACTGGCATGAACGGAGGGAGCTGCCCTGCCCTGCCTTACCCTCTGTGACAGACCAGAGCCTTCTGAATAACGTAAGCCTGAATAAATCCTGGTCCACCAAATTGTTTCTGTCAGATACTGCAGTTGCTATAAGATTTCTTTTTCTTTTTTTATTGGATATTTTATTTATATACATTTCAGAAACCATCTCCTTTCCCCATTTCCCCTCCCTAGAATCCCCCTATCCCATTCCCCCTCCTCCTTTTTGCTTTCATACCATTTTAATTACATGCAAGTGTTAAGGTCAGTTCTAGGTTGAGGAACTACCAATACAATAGATGCAAATAGTCAAGGAACAAACACGACAATAAACACAAATAGTCAAGAAACAAGCAAGACAATAAACAAAATTCCGTGAACACTCCCATGATCACTGTTCCTAAGGGCTTGTCAGGATGACCAAAATGTCTGAGCCAACTTCCCTGTCCTCGCCCAAAGTCATTTTCATGTCACAGGATATAAGATTAATGGATATACTTACAGTCCGCAATCTCATAAAGCCAAAGAGCCAATTAGCTTCTATTTTAATCTTATCCAAATTCGGATAAAGAGGGGGCTGGGGTGGAATGCAATGGTAGACCCCTTGTCAAGCAAGCATCTTGAAGTGCTGAGTTTGATCTCAAGGACAGGAAATAAAGCACACGGAAATCTTAGAAACGATTTTTAAACTGAGAATCTCCTGATTGAACAAGAGGTCTTTTAAAATGTTTCTGTTTCCTGTATCCTTTGCATTTTCTGGTTAGTTCATCAAACATTTACCCAGCATGCCCGGTAGCTGGAATTATCGGCACTCCAAAGATGAATGACTCATGGATCTAAGTCCCAAGGGCTTCACACACTGATGGAGATTCAATGGCCCAAGTTAAGAAAGGCCTCTAGGTCCCTTTCTGTGGAGCCCAAGGTTAAAGGAAAATACTTGTTTTGCTCACTACCATTAACCTAGCACTGGTATGTGGTAGGCACTTAACGACTGTTTGTCAAGTGAATGTATGAACTAGGAAAGTCTGAAGCCTGAGAAGCACAAGTTAGAGAGAAGAATCTCTTGAGATAAAAAGCTGGTAGAAAGATTCAATAACGCTCTGAGATCCTGCTCTGACTGGCCACCTAACTCTCCGGTCATGGAGGAGTGATGTGGACCTCTGTGCATCCAGCAACTGTTAGAGAAAGGCGCCACAGTCCAGGCCCCACCCCAGTGAGAGTCACAAGGACTAAGAGGTCAAGGGTCGTGGGGCATGAAAAGCTGGCTGTTTCTTCATAACACTGTGGCCCTCAGGCACTGATAATTCTTCTCAGTCAAGAAAAAATAACCAGGCTTTATTTTCTCAAAACCTTAGGGACCCTTTTCCACCTTCAAGAGAATAAAGTGTGTTGTTCCTACCATGGTTCCTCTGTGACACCCTCATTTCTGAGGACAGTCCAGATTTTAAATATGTTCTTCTGTTGTTTCAAAAAGCATTTGAGTTTGTGTGACTGTATTACTTCTGGATATTTTGGAAAACTTGTTACCAGGTCTGGAGGCATGCTTCTTTTGTTTCTCTGGAAAATATTCTTGTTTCTCTTTTTCCTCCCTCCCTTCTCTCTCTCCCTCCCTCCCTCTCTCTCTCTCTCTCTCTCTCTCTCTCTCTCTCTCTCTCTCTCTCTCCTCTT